ATAATCGATTTAATAAATTTTTTTGGGAGTTTTAAAATTAAGTTCGAATGCCAAAACATGCTCTTCACCCCTCTACCGCCCAAAACATGCCCCCCGCCCCCCTACCACCTAAAACAAGTTCACCACCCCTCAGCATCCTCCCACCGCCCCCCGGGGGGCGGTACCACCCCCGTTGAGAACCAAAGGCCTAGATTTTTGCCCAAACAATTGCTAAAGGGCAGGGTGGGTTAGAAAGATTTTTCAGCCTGTTGCGTTTAACTTAATGTAGTCCAGCAAGATGAAAAATCTGTACAGATTTCTTCCTGTCCTCCAGTATTAATATTTTCCATCTTATTCTTTTTTTTTCTTCTCCCCCAGGAAATTTTCTCTAATAATAGTTTGTGGCTCTTGCAAAGATAAGGGAAGAGGGTTGTTTGTTGAGGTCAAGTTCCATGACAATTTAAGACTGGAATTAAAGTAATAGTGACATCAGCCTCCCTTAAGAAATATCTTTGGGAAGTGAAAAGACCCAGACAGTAACATATGGGACATCCTTTTGAATTTTTTGGCTGGGAGGGATTGTTCTTTGAGCAGCAATTTACTGGACTTGGCAGCTGGCATTTGATAGCCGAAGGAAGAATTAGAAGTGCCTTTGTCTGCTGAAGTTGCAGAGCTACCTTGTTAAGCTGTCTCATAAGACTGGTTAATAAAAGACATTAACAGGCCTATAGAAGAAAATATATATAGCTCAGAGTTGACCTGTGGAGTCCTTGGTGCTCTCTGAGCTTGGTTGTTTGCTTGCAGACATTTGCCGTCTGCAAGCAAACAACCAAGCTCAGAGAGCACCAAGGACTCCATTAACACTCTTGTTAGGACATTGCTTTATAATAAAGCTTTGGCTCTACCTAGAATTATTCAGTACCCTAGGCAGGCTGGAAATAGTAAGCCAACTGGCACACCAAAAGTCTGATCTGAAAGGGAGGGAAATACTTCTGTGGCTCCCAATACCTCCCTTATGATGATAGCAGTGATTATGTGAGAGACCCCAGCACCTTCAGAATGAAACAGAAAACATTGTCGAAGTTGGGTGAGAAGTAATGCAGAACAATTAACGTACGCCGAAGAAGAGCGCGGTATGTGGCATGGCCATATATGGACACAAATGCAAATCAAGTCCTCTGCATCAGCAATCACTTTTAACATTTAACAGTATGTTGATTATATGTCTTTAGAGACAAGGGAAGAATAGGACTTAAAGGGAATGTGCAAATCTGTGCAGAAGCATGCCTGTTGCTGCAGCTGTCTCTTACAGCAGTTGGCATGAAAAAATTGAAGTCAAAGGCACAGCTGCTACCATTTTACTACTGATTTAACCATTTTTGTAGTCCTTAATTTTGGCTGCCATGTTTGGATAGGAATCTCGGAGCATGAGACATTAAAACATGGTCCACTTAAACGTTCTGACTTTCTGGTACTACAGCGGGTCTCATGGGTTCAGCTTATCAGATGGGAGAAAGACATATCAACAGTACCTGCAGGAGTTTCCCAGGGCAATTATCCAGCAATCCAGCTCACGACTCCCAGTGGGGTTCCTGCATTTTCCCCGTATTTTTTCAGTCATTTCTCCGCCACAAAAATATCAGAATAGCTGCATAATCCTTTGGATTGATAGCACGATGAATTGTTCATTTGGAAATGATACTTGGCTAGACTACCCACAGAGCTGTGAACAGAAACCAAAACTCTTGAAAGCCAGTCTATCTGTAATAGAAATATTCTGGAATAAATATTCCAAAGCAAAAGCATGCAGATATTTCATTGTTAATTAATTATACATATTTGAGCTAAATTGCCAAGTTATATAGCATTGGCTTTTCAAAGAACCTGGAATTTTTCTTTCATTAAATATATGTATTTCAATTGTATGTATGTATCTTTGTGTGTGTATACACGCACACACATACTCAGGATTAATGAGAAAACACTTGATGGATCTTAGTAAGAGGTCATCAGTAAGAGGAAATATATAGAGATTGAAACCCCCCATCTCTCTCTCCCTATTAACAGACACATAAGGGCATTCCAAGGACATCAGAAATAAGCTTATCCCCTTGATCTGAGGTCAGGGTTTGTCAGCTTTTCTGGGGAAGGAGCCTCCTGCTGCGAAATCTCCACAGAGTTCCCAAAAGCCCGATGTTTTGTTTTTAATGAGCAGCGTTATCTCTTCTTCACTCCCCCTCTTGACACTATTTAGAATTAAGGGAGCACCTCACTGGGTATCTATTGCAGCTTTTCTTCAGGCCAGTACAGGAGCTGGCTTGAGAGACGACATTGTGTAGAAGAGCAAGAAATATAGGGAGAATCCACTGGAAGCAGCAGCGGCCTCCTCTTGAGTGCCAGGAGACATGATTCGAAGCAGCATTTCATGGCATCAAGCCTTTGTACAGACCACACAATGTTTCTTTGCCTCCAGGCTGCCAGTGTTACACTGCAGAGCCCCACCAGCCTCTTCTTCATTCCAGTCAGGAAGCCCAGCTTGATCTGCAACGTTCTTGGCAGATTCATCCAGCATTGTGATACCGCATGGATTCAGAATCATGGCAGCCAATGTAGCAGTTTAAAAGTTGGTTAGTCGCAAGATTATTATATGCACAAAGATGGAAAAGTAGTGAAATTCCCACAATGGAGGAATGGATTGTAAAAATGTCAGAATTGGCGGAAATGGCAAAACTGACCTGTTTGGTCAGGGACAAAAAAAAAAAACCCTGCTTTTTTTAAGGACTAGAAAACTTGTATGGGGTTTTTTTGCTAAAAGAAGAAAAAAGTGAAATGATTTATGGATTTAATGATTGAAAAAATGAGAATTAAATAAGGGGTTGAAGGGATTTCTGGAATAGTTAAGAGGGAGGGGAGATGATGGGTTTGTTAATGTCTGTTGAAGAGAAGGTCATAAGTGATTATACTTCATAACTTTAGTTCTTTCTTTCCTTTTTCCCTTTTCTTGCACCTTTTTTCTTCTCTTCTATCTTTTTCTTTAGATTTGACTTTTACTGTATATATAATTCTTAATAAAAATAAATAACAAAAACAAGTTGGTTAGTCTAGGTTCTTAGGCTTGCCTTACCTCCACTCTGGTCATAAGCATAAAGCTATTTGGTGACCTTAGCCACCATCTCTGAAGAAATCAGGGACAAAAAGAAGGCACAAGCAGACATTCAAACCTCAGCAGCCTTTCTTCATTTAAGGTAGCCTAAATCTCAGTCCTAGA